TGCTAACGCCGAGATAAAGAAGGCTGAAATGAAACTATCACTGAAGAAGAATTAGGTATTCCTTGGAACTGTATGTGAAAATGGTGTCAACAAGAAGGCTCAAGTCCCACCCGATGTCTGGTCAGTCACATTTATCCGGTGATACTATGTCCCCACTTGAACTTCTGCAGTAATGCCGCGGAGTCCCAAAGCGCAGGCAAAATGAGGAAACTGCTGCCAAAGCACCAAATGCGAAAGGAGCAGTGTGTGCACCCTCTAATCTTGTACAGATCTCACTCTTACCCATGCTAAAGTGCAGCAGCGGATTTTACACCCAAAATGTGGAACACTGTCCTAAAGAAAGCGACTTGATATGATATGTAGATATGTTGGCTGCTTGGATTTAAATTCCTCCCACCGACCATGTAAGGTACATAACAACCAACACACATGTTTATATCAGTAGCCCTTGAGCGCCGTGCCTACAGAATCAGAGTATTCCCTAGCTAGTGACTTGTCACAATGGAGCAAAGGCACGTTGGACCTTGTTAGTCCAGATGCGAAAATAGCCCCTTAGCGATTCGGGAATAACGGTGAACGGTGTGCCCCTGGAAAATGTATGAGGAGCCAGGAAGTGACGAGGAGATCCGAGTTGGGTCCTTCTCTCAGTATACCTGGAAAGTAGAAGTGAGATGAAGAGATGCGCAGAAGAGCCAGATGCATTATCTCTCTCTTTGGAGCTTATTCATAGACTAGCGCAGGATAATCAGCAAAAGAGCACAGACGAGTACTAAGACAGTGGTCACGGGACAGGCCGTTGTTGCCGGCGTCATTGGTGGAATGGAGCTGGCAGCACCTCCCCCCCAAAACGTTGGGCCATTCGGCCGCACGCAATGCGTCAGCCCTTCGACCACTCATGATAGCAGCAACCGCCCACCTCCAGCAATCGTGCCTGAATTCAGACAGTCCGTTCACTTTGATAGTTCGAGCTTCGATTTGTTCCCTTTGTTAAACACATGTGATTCAGCCACCACCCCATCTACCCAGATATTGGAGACAAGTTCCTTCAGATGCTTAGCACCCCTGGCAGCTATGACATGGAAGTGGTAAGTGGTAGTAACTTGATCGGCTGGTTTTGCCGAATTCATGTCAATTCAGTGATTATACGGGCCAGTTTTCAGATTGAGAAGGAGGCTCATCAATCGAACATTATCAATATCCCTGGAATCAGCAATACTTTGAACACCTTTGTCGTGAAGGTAAGCGTTACAGCTCTCTACGAACTTCGTACAAAAGTGGTTGCCTATGCAGAAGTGGTACTGCCTTTATTCACCTCTTGTCAACCCTGGAAAACAACTTCTGGGTCAAATCAGTATTGGGGGCTGAAGGGTGAGTGGTGTACAGGCACCTGTGGAATCTGACTATGAGAAACAATTGCGTAACAGTCACGCTGCGAGCTTGGTAGCTTTCTTGCCAATCGTGAGTTTCCAAATCAGTGAGGCTAAGTTAGCACACATACGCCCTGTCGTTGTCGTTTTCGTCACACAGCCGCAATATGGATCTCCTGAACAGCACTTAAGCCTGAGTTCTTTAACTGAATTGCCCTCGCCGTCAGAAGTGATGAGAATGAGAGCGAAAAGGTGCTGAAACTCGGGTCTTGTCAAGCCAGGCCTGAGGTTAGGAAAAGGCACTAGTTTCTACTGATTCTACCCAATCGAGCTTCGACAGGGTAGAATCAGGAAAACTGGCGAGGGGCGTTACAGGGAGGCTGGGTTTGGCGCGGCGCCAGCTGGTTCCCGACCAACGTGTCGAACGGCGCTGCCGGCTGCAATGGGTGGAAAATTGTTGGCGCCGCGTCAAATCTAGACCCTCTCGACACGCCCCAGCATCCGCAATGAA